AAAAAAAAAAAAAAAAGAGTATCTCCAAAAGAAAATCCCTCTGGCTTCTATCCTGCCAATAAAGGGGAAGGAAGAATCTTGAAAGAAGAAAAAATAGGGTAAACCCTGAAAAAATAGGTACTGCAGGTAAGAAAAATAAAGGAAAGTAAAAAGCAATGTAGTAGAATATATTGGGTCTCATCCAGCCTTTCATCAAGTACTACCAAAGGCCTCTACATCAAGAAATTCAGTCATCATAGTATGGTAAATTAAAACTGGAAGCATTGTTCCTATGGTTTTTACAGTAAATAATTTGTCAAAAGCTGGATGACTGACTACATGCAATGCATGTTGTAGAGGGAGTAGGTACTGTGAGGCTGAACTCGGTGACATCTATGATCCCCTAGGGATGATTCCCAAGACTCTACTCTGCCTCATATGAAAACTGTATCCTTAGACTAAGCCAAGAGGATGAACAGATATCTGCCCCATCTCCTTCATTTCTCTCTGAACTCTTTCCAACCCAGAAAGATCATGCTATACACCCTCCAGACCTGCTCCCTACTCTCTAGACCTTCTAGTAAAAGAAACCTACCATTTCCTTCATTTTCCATGTAGTAATATGGCTCCTCACAAGTATAGCGAGTGACAGAACCAAATAGAGTATCTCCGGGATCTTTGGCTTGACCATTTGGGATGGGTTCAGGATCACCACAATCCACAGCTATAAGAGGAAGGCAGGAGACTGATGGTTAGGACCTCCACACCCTCCAGAAAGAGTCATGGGGACAGTTCCATCCTCCCAGTTATGTTCCTCACTCCTTCCCCACCCTACATCCATAAGCATATCCTTAAATACATGTGGGCTAAGTCCCCACATACCATCTTGGCTATGGTCATGACCTCCAATTGGCATCACTCAACTCCCCACCTCATCAAGATCTGCCAATTCAGAGATCCCTTTCAAGAATACAAGGATGAACCTGCTTCTCAGTGGTTGGTGAGATCCCCTGTGGAAGCCAGGGGTGCACCCACATGGGGTTATTAACTTTATCAATCCAAGTCTTCTTTTTGGGAGAAACCTGGGAGTCTGACTGACCTGGGACCAGATCAGAGCTGGGACTAGAGAAGCTTCCATAACTGGATCCCCTTCAAAAACCCATCCCATTCTCTCATGAGCCTAAGAGGAAACCTTGTATTTGAAATTTGATGTGCCAATCTTTTCATTCCCTTTGGAAGGACAAAAAACAAAAGTCCCCAATTGAAAGAGATACATACGTTGACATTTCAGTTCACGATTACTCCACTTTCCATTGCTTTGACAAGTAGAATAGAAAGAATTTGAGCCAATATTTCTCTGGAAAATAATAGACATTACCATTAACTTAAAAGGATAGGCATGGGAAATAAAAAACAAAATGAGAATCTATCTCTGGCATTGGACAACTGAAGATTGAGGGCATCTTAGCAGAATGACCCAAAGCACCCCAAATCTGGGGTTTAATGACAGCTTTGTCCCAGCATATCAGTTCCCCTTCTCCAAGAAAACTGAAGACAAAAAGAGAATGTACATTTGGTTAAGGAGCTCCATGATTCACAAGAACTGAAAAGCCTGAGCTGTTCTGCTTATGAAAAGGTATTATACCTGACTTAAACAAGGACATTAGGTAAACAACTGGATAACACCAGTATGCTCATCCTAACTTGAAGCCAAAGATTAAGCAGAAGCTCTCAAGGTACTTTACCTCCACAACTTCAAACCCATCCAGACAGATTATCTTCACCACATCTTTAAACACGTATTTTGCCTTCTCAGGCTCCCGAACAGAATTGGCAATGAATTCTTTAGGACAGGGGATTGCTTGAAGAGGACACAAGTTCAAATAGAAAAAATAAATAACTTGGTAGTTGAATAATCTCTATTCTGTTTACATCACTGTCACACTTTCTAAAATATTTCAGTTGCCCTCAATCTTGATGCCTTACACTCTAATATGGTAAACATCTAAAATAGTATGACATTATTAAATCACCCCTAAAGGAGCTCTGGTAGCGTAGTGGTTATGAATCGGGCTGCGAACCTTAAGGTCAGCGGTTCGAAACTACCAGCCGCTCCGTGGGAGAAAGATGAGGCGTTCTACTCCCGTAAAGATTTACACCCTCGGAAACCCTGTACAGGGTCGCTATGGGTCGGAACCGACTCGACAGCACTTAACAACAAAAACAACAACAAAATTGTCTGTACTCTAAAAACAAAGGATTACTAGAGGTTATGGCATCTCTAGCAACCATTTATGGGTTTAGATTTTTCTGAGACGAGGTAACAAAGGTGAAAAGTAATAAAGTATCTCAGGATTCTTAGCCATTCAATAGTTTTGATTCTATGTGATCCAAAAACTTTGATTGTTGTCGTTAAGTGTCATTGAATTGGATCCAACTCCTAACAACCCTGAGTAGGATTTTCAAGGAGTGACTGGTGGGTCTGAACCACTAACATTGGGGTTCCCAGTCCAGTGCTTATCCTACAGCACCATACCACAAAAGTGCAACTTCTAAATTACTCACGATCTCCATGGTAACGAAGTCTCCAGCCCTTTTTTTGCTCATCTTGATCAGTTTGGAAGATGATATCAAGAGCATTACTCTTGGTTTCAATATTTAGTGGCCCAGGAAATCCACTCCCACAGTAAGGACCAAATTGCCGCTCTCCTGCAACGAACTGAAAGGAAACAAAATGATGAAATTAGAAGAAAGACAAAGAATTAAATGAAAGAGGCAAAAGGGAGGGAATAAAAGTAACAGAATTAATAAATGAAGAAAGGTAAAAATGAAAATCAGGGCCAGAAGGAAAGACAATTTTGCCTTCAGGAAAATTCTTCAATCAAGTTGGGGAAAAATTAATCATCCATCACGCACAACTAAGCTGTCATGGCAGTTCCCTTTTGAATCCGCTGGTTCCACATCAAAATCTTCTCTCCGCACCGTCACTACCACTTGGAAGCCCTCCTCCAATAAGACCTGGTATTCACACCTTGAGTTCTCTGGATATGGATTGGGATAATTGGGACTTGCAATCTCCCCAATCGGTGTAGTGAATATCTCTCCACTGCAATTGACTAAGGGAGGAAAAGAAAAAAGGGAGAATTAAATGTAGGATCAAGCAAAGGCCTTCCCTATGATTTCATCTCCCATGAACTGACAGTCTCTCATTTAAACTAGCTTGGAATCCATATCTTGACTGGAGATCACATGCAATTACACACCTAATCCTTAGGAGTAGAGGTAGCAATGCCTACTGTGTTTCCATCTCTTTACTGATGTCTTTCTTAAGCCAACTAACTAACTTTGTAACCTTGTCTTTTTCTCCTCTTGTGGTTCCCCTTCAGTTTATAACAGAAATCAAACCAAGGCTGAAACTAAAATGGAAGGGTAGACAAAGCCCTCACTGAGTCCTCAAGCCATTCCAAATCCCAAAGGATGGCCACCTCTCTTGATGCCAAGCTCACCCCCACAACTTTTCATATCATCATGGAGGAAGTATTCTGGAGGGCAGGAGCAGAAGTAACCACCAATGAAGTTGTTGCAGAAGTGGCTACATGGGACATCTGCAAAATCTGTGCACTCATTTATATCTACAAAAGGTAAAGAAAAAATCAGGTTAAAAACAAATACCTAGAAGGAAGAATGAGTTTAAACCCAAAACTACAAGGGAAAGAGAATGTAATAAAGGCCTGTTGCTTAAAGACCATAAGAAACCATTCTTCACTATGGTATTACTGTGTATTAGTCTTATATAAAAAGGTTCCAGAGTTGTGTGCTACCATTGCACAGCTATAAGGGGGCTCACAACACCAGAGACCCTTGACCTTACTTACACATGGAGTGTTCCAATTCCAAAGACAATAATACCCTGTAAACTAACACGATGATGTCTTCTGTACAGAGGAACAATTAGTACATCGAGTGCTTTGTTTGAGGTTGGTACTTGTGTCCAATCTAAACAACCGTTTGGTTTTATGAAATGTTCTAACTTCATTTTAACCTGGAGATAGTTATAGGCACACATGAAATTTGAAGATTTAAATGCCACATATAGAAGTTTCAATAGTGTAAATTGCTTATGTGATTCCTGTAAAGTCATTGAACTTTACTAGTTCTCACTTTTCTTACCTTTAAATGGAGATAATATCTACTTTAAAGTGTTGAGAAAAAGTGTGCTAACAGAGGTAAGAGTCCTAATATAATTTCAATATGAGAGGGCTTCAAAAAGTTCATGGGGAAAAAAATCTATTATATTTTCATTTAATTTATCCATGAACCTTTTGAAGCTCCTTCATTCATAATAGTCCTCAATTAATTACCAGTTCTTATCTATTATGCCATTATCTTCATCATATGCCTAAGATATACTATTTGAGTTTCACAAAGATGATTCATGAAAAACCCATGCCAAATCAACACTTTATATGAATTATAAACAGAGTCCTCATTCATTGTACTGCTCATTGCTTTTCCCTCTTCTAAGCTTTCAACTGGGAGCACGACAGTTCTGTATGATAAGTACTGGACTGTAAACCACAAGATCAGTAGTTTGAGCCTACCAGCCTCTCCGTAGGAGAAAGATGAGACTTTCTGCTCCTGCAAAGACTGGTAGCCTCAGAAACTCTGTACACAGTCGACGGCACTTAACAACAACAAGCTTTTACCTGAAACAATAAAGCAAAGACAGAAGGCTGATCCATACCTACGGCAACATAGTATGCAGCAAATCCAGTGAAACGCTCTTCATTGGAGAAGTCTGATTTAAAGATCACCTGTAGTTTATTGTATGGAACTTGGAATTCTTCCACAATTGGAGAGTTGTGATTCTTGTTGGTCCTCTGTCCACAGAGTATCCCTTCTTCATGGTCTCCTGACATTATCTAAGAGCAAAGTCAAAAAAGAAAGTAAGGTGCTGCTGAGCTTCTGTTAAGGATGATGAGAAATTTTGGAAACACATCGTTCTGCTCGCACAAAGATATACAGCCTCAGAAACCCTTTATAAAGGGTCCCTGTGAGTCGGAACCGACTCAACAGCACACAACAACAATGGTGATAGTTGCACTACATGATAAACATAATTAATGTTACTGAAATGTGCATATAAAAAATTTAAATAGCAAATATTCTGTTACACATAAAATACTGTGTTACTACAATAAAAGCAAATGAAATTTAAAAAAAAAGAAAATAAGAAAGTAAACTACTTGGATGGAGAGAAAACAACATTTACATCCTTAGGACTACGTCACGCTAGTTCACCGTATGCTTGTGGTACTCCATCCCACACCCCTCTGATTCCATCATCCAGGCTCTGGTCTCCCATTTCTAATCTTCATGTGTTTATAATATACCTGCACTGAGTCATAAGCGCAGTTCTCTGAGAGTTCTATATCCAGATGGGTGAAGTAGAGGTGGATTCCATACCCTTGTGGAACTTCTATATCCCAAGATTTTTCTATCTCATTGGGATATGCCTGAGGATAGTTAGGGGACAGGATCTCCCCATACATGGTAGGCTCAGCATAAACCCATGCCAAAAGCGAAAACAGGACAATGCACCTGGGGAAAAAAAGGTATTGAGAGATAGGTGACCCAAGTATCCGTGGCCTAGTGCAAAGCTCTAACATTTGTCATTGGGTGAAGGGAAGGGAAAGGACATGGGCAGTCAGTGGGTCCTGAATGAAATTTTTAAGTTGAAATAAAGCCAAAAGGACTAAGACAAACAGAACTCTAGGATTCGGGTCTGAACAATTTTCTCAAGAAGATGAAGAGAATGGCATCTATATAACATGTCTGTAGACCCATGATCACTTACCACATTTCTGGCGATTTGTCCAACGCTGGTGAGAAGCACGTCTCTTGGTCCTGGCTCTCTGCACCTCTGGACTTTGGAGCTAAAGAGGTTAGGCCTGGTTGTATTTGTCTAATAAACACAGGCACCTGCTTTGGTACTGAGGGATTACTTTGGGGTTCGGTGTCACCACAACACACAGCTTAAGCAGAGCCATATCACTATGCATCACCATAGGATACACCTCTCTTCACACCCTCCCTGGTCCTACTTCAGTTACATTTCTAGACTAAAACTAAAACTTACTCTTCTCCCATTTGCTTCTCTGGACCTTCTCCCAGCTTTTCTTTTTTCTTCAAGAGTATGAGGACTACCTCCAATTTTCATCTTTCTCTGTTCTTTTCCACCTCCCTTCTACAGCCTCTCTCCTACCCTTAGGACAATATTCCTATTTACACTCTGATTTTCAGGAGATTTTGCCCATCATCACCAGCCATCAAGGACAGTTTTCTCTCCTTTATTGACGATGAGTCCCCATGTCACTTCAAACCAGATCTCTTTATGATGTTTGTTGCATGTGTTTCTGATCATGCTCCCATAACCACTGGTGTAGGAAGGTGATTCCGTCACAGAGGGAGGCAGTGGTCTTGAGACAAAAAGTATGAGGACAGAAGCACTGCTTCCCATTGAGACATATCTCAGTAGGGAAGGAGAAAAAGGACAGCTGAGCATTAAGAAACATAAAAGGAAACAAAAGGTATTCTCCCCATTTCCTATATTCATTTTCCAGAGTAGTTTATTCTCTCCTTTACTAAAAAGACTAAAATGTTTTTAACCCAGAAAACAGTGGTAGGTAGTGAGTGATACGGGAGTGGCAAGGGTCTGTTTTCTTTTATTCTACCATATTTGCCCCAAACCTTCCGATCTTTGCCCCAAACCTTCCTACATGGGATTTCCTGCCTCTCTTTTTCCTCCATGAAAGCTCTGTCTCTTCTTTTTAAGATTTTTACCTTCAGAAGCTGATGGGAGCAAGTGGGCCAGTGGACATGCTGGGTGACCCTGCAGGCTCCAAGAAGAGCAGCACGGTGCCTGGACGCTCCCTCTGCAGGCACCTCCGCAGGCCTCCCAGTCTTGCTTCTGGGTAAATATGCATGTCTGAAATTCCCTGATCTAAACAAAGGGGGCTGGGAGACCATGACTTCGGGGAAGGGTAGCTCAGTTTTGATATTGGAGCTCCCTCTGCTTTTGAAACAAGAACTGCATCCTCCTCCTTGACTAGAGATTCCGCTATCCAGGGCTCCAGAGAAATGAGGAATTTCACTGATTGCTCAACTGTCTTTTCCAGCCAAAGGGTGTGTTACATACAGAGTTTTCAGGGAAGTCAGGTGATTTGTAGGAAAAGGAGGGGACTAGTAGAAACCAAACTCAAAAAGTCCAACCTTCCAACGGTGTGTAAATCATGATTTAAAGGGGAGTAGTCCTGGTGTGGAAGGAGCTCTGGTAGCGTAGTGGTTTACTAATCGGGTTGCGATCCGCAAGGTCAGTAGTTCGAAACTACCAGCTGTTAAGCGGGAGAAAGATGAGGCTTTCTGCTCCCGTAAAGATTTTACAGCCGGAGAAACTCTGTTACAGGGTCGCTATGAGTCGGAACCGACTCCACGGCACATAGCCACCATCTGTGGGTTAATGCACTGGACTGCAAAGTTGGCTTAAATCATAAGTTCGGCAGTTTAAGCAGCAGCTCCTTGGAAACCCTATATATGATCTCTATGAGACGGAACCGACTCAACGGCACTTAACAACAAGTCTTGGTGTGGCGCTGTAGGATCAGCTTGAACCACAAGGTCAGTGGTTCAAACTCACCAACCACTCCTTGGAAACCCTATACAGGGTTACTATGAGTCGGAATCGATTCGATGGCACTCAACAACAGTTATCAGAAAATAACTAAAATAAAAGTAGCTAAAGCAAAAAGAAGAAATGATAATGCAAAAGAGCTGAACAGAAAGAAGATTTCAAAGGGCAATTCGAGAAGGCAAAGTATAATAAGGAAATGTGCAAAGACCTGGAGTTAGAAAACCAAAAGGGGAAGAACATGCTCAGCATTTCTCAAATTGAAAGATTCAAGCCTCGAATTCCAATATTGAAAGATTCTATGGGTAAAATATTGAATAACACAGAAGCATCAAAAGAAGATGGAAGGAATACACAGATTCACTTTACCAAAAACAATTTGTTGACATTTAACGTTCCTGGAGATAGTGTACAATCAATAACTGATGCACTAAAGAAAGAAGTCCAAACCGCATTTGAAAGCATTAGCGAAAAATAGGGTGTGACGCTGCAGAATGATGCGCTGGACCCCGAGGTAGGTTTAAACTGCAAGGTGGGCGGTTCAAACTCACCAGCTGCTCTTCGGAAGCCCTATACAGGGTCGCTATGAGTCAGAACCAACTCGAAGGCACTTAACAACAAGGGATTGACAGAATATTAGTTAAAATGTTTCAACAAATGTATGTCATGCTGGAAGCATTCACTCGTTTATGAAAAAAAAAAAAAAAGGTTGGAAGACAACTACCTAACCAACCAACTAGAAGAGATGCATATTTATTCCCATTCATAAAAATGGTGATCCAACAGATTATGGAAATTTTGAGACAATAATTAATTCCATAATTAATATGGAACATTAATATCACATGTAAGTAAAAATCTGCTGAAGATAATTAAAAAACAACTGCAGCATTACATCAACAGGTGACTGCCTGAAATCCAAGCTGAATTCCAAAGAGAACATGAAACATGGGAATATCATTGTTGATGCCAGATGGATCTTGGCTGAAAGCAGAAAAGATGTTTACCTGTGTTTTATTGACTCTGCAAAGGCATTTGACTGTGTGAATAATAACAAATTATGGATAACATTATGATGAATAATATACAAAGACCAAGAGGCAATTATTTAAACAGAACAAGGGAATACTGCCCAGCGTAAATCAGGAAAGATGTATATTAGGGTCGTATCCTTTCATCATACTTATTCAATTTGTATGCTTATCAGATAATCCAAGAAGTTGGACTATATGAAGAAGAATGTGGCATCATGATTGGAGGAAGACTCATTACCAACTGTGATTTGCAACTGACACAACCTTGCTTCTGAAAGTAATGAGGACTTAAAGCACTGGTGAAGATCAAAGACTACAGTCTTCAGTATGGGTTGTTCCTCAACGTAAAGAAAACAAAAATCCTCACAACTCTACTGAAGCATGCTCTGAAGATCTTGCTGAGGAGAATGTTGCTGATGATGATAGTGTTTGGGGACAAAGTTAATGTTTTTCTTATTTATGAGGCCTTGAGTACCAGATATATGTTGGATGGTAACAGCAGATGCTGACAATTATGGCTCTAAGGTGATGGACTCATTTTACATATGATGAAGCTGGAGCTCAGAGAGCTTATGTAACTATTTCAAGGTCACACAACTAAAAGCAGCTAGTAAACATTTGAATTCACCTTAAGTCAGTCACTCAACCAACCATTTCTCAGGTATTCACTGAACATGTTGTGTTCACCATTGTTCTTAGTCAGAAGCAACAGAAACCAACTCAGGCTGATTTTAGCAGAAGTATGATCATAGATCAAACAAAAATGCTAGGAGAGCTGGAGTGCCAAGAGGAAGCATCACAGCAAGAGAGATGGTCTGAACAGGGATGCTGCCTCTGCCTCTGCTGTGTTCCAGACACATCAGCTGTGATGCTCATCCACTGGGCTGAGTACACCAGTGAGCATCTTGCGGGAGCATTTTCCTCCATCTTAATGCAGCCACCACTGTCCTTGTGTTTCCATATGTCTTCTTGGCATCATTACCTATGGATTCAAAGCCTGGGCAGAAGCTTCTGATGAATGGAGCTGCTACAGCGATAAGGGACATGTTTCCTGTACTTGTAACTTTTCACTTGAGAGCTGAGCTTTGCTGCTCCCTAGACTCCTGTGAGGAGGAACTCCCCAGATGTGGTAAAGGGATTCAAATGCTGGGCAGCCAAAATGAATGACAAATGGTCTTATATACATTTATTGTGTGTAAACACTGTTGTTGTTGTTGTTGTTGTTAGGTGCCATCGAGTAGGTGCTGACCCATAGTGACATTATGCACAGCAGAATGAAACACTGCCCGATACTGGGCCAACCTCACTATTATTGCCACGCTTGAGTCCATCGATGCTGCCACTTGGCCAATCATCTCGTTGGGGGTCTTCCTCTTTTCCTCTAACCCTCCACCTTACCGAATATGATATCCTTCTCCAGCGACTGCTCCCTCCTGACAATATGTCCAAAGTATGAGAGACGAAGTTTGGTCATCTTGGCCTCCAAGGAGCACTCTGGCTGCACTTCTTCCAACACAGATCTATTGGTTCTTTTGGCAGCCCATGGCACTTTCAATATTCTCCTCCA